CAGGCGCACACAGCTCAAGCTGAGCTAGGTATTCATCTGGAGAAAGCAGAGCCAATTTCATATGACATCATAATTAGGTCAAAGACGTTGCTAACTATAGACTCTACAAACAGGAATTGAATAGGGTCATTGTCAAAGGATGCCCATAGTTCAGAAGTAAGATGTATCCAATAGGAAGTCACAGTTGCCCAGTGTATCCCTGAAAACAGTGTTCTCATCTACCTTACCAGTATGAAGGTTAGCTCACCATGCTCACCAGTAAGAAAGATGCCTGCCTACCCACTTATGCAGAATCCACTTATTATTGCCACCATACTACAAAAGCCACTGAAGGGGCACTGATCAGACTAGAGCACAAGAATCAACCTTCATGGCAAGGGCCTTTTCTTGGACAGACATTTATTCCAAAGATGGAAGTATGCAACCCAGAACTCCTTCAGACCTCCCCACCCAAGCAGCATATCATTCAGCATACCCAACTTCAACTCTAGCCTTCACATCCACCTTAATAGGAGGTTGCTGCATAGCCTCACTTAAACCACAAGCTAAGGTGGAAACAAGGGAAAACCCACAGGAACATAAACATCCAAGAGTACTTACTCAACTCAAATACATCATTAAAAGATAATCTTCATTCATTTTGAGGCAATTTCTCCTTAATACAGATCGCCCTCCCTACTTGACCAAGCAGGTTTTTAGAGTTCCATACTGCCTTGGCAGGAGAAAAGAGGCTGTATACAAGCCCTCAGATAAAGAATTTGGATTATGACTGTTCACGTTTCTAGACTTTCATCCTTTCTTGCTCTCTTCCTCAATTTCACCTATAAAATGTTCTGATAGAGAAAATTCAGATGAACTAGTTCACAATCTAATGTCCCCAGAGGCATTCTGCAAGTCCTTCTTCTCTTCAAAACTAATAAGAATTTAAGGAGCTTATACCACCACCTTAGACATCAGACCCCACTCTAGTTTGTATTTTCCAAAACTATTGCCACTAAAAACAATTAATCCTATTCTAGGATAACTGTAAAACAGAAGAGAGATTTGGTGGTCTAGGTTATGGCTTCAACTAAATAGAATGAGTCAAAAAGGAGATGGAAAACAAAGATAATTTAGGACATGACAGTAGATAAGTGAAGAGTGTAAGAACTGCTATACTGGGTCAGACCAGAGATCTATCCAGCCCAGTACCAGGTCCCCAACTGTGGCATGTACTGGGTTATTTACAGCAGGGATAGGTAAACTGTAGCAGTGGTGTCATAAGTGGCATCAGCAGCCTGTGTGTGGTATGTGACAGACTGGGGAGGGGACAGGCAGCCCACAGCAGATAAGCCAGGGAGCAGGAAGCAGAGCAGCAGACTAGGCAGAGAGAAGAAAGATAAGCAGCAGATCAGATAAGGGAAGAGAATCTGAATGGTGCTCAAGGAGGATGCAGGGCTTATCTGTAGCATGCCTGCCAAAAAGCTTGCCTTCCCCCTCTCCCCCTGCTTTTACAAGAAGAGTATAAAAGAACAGGGCATGTGTGAATTCATCCATCCTCAGTCATAACCTGCCAGTCACCATTAGTACACAACACACCTCACATAGGTCCACCAGGGGCTGTTAAATCTCGCATAGATTTGCCTAATCCATTTTTCACCTGGTTATACTATTAGCCTCTGAAATATCCTGGGGCAATGAGTTCCACAAGGTAATTATGCATAACGTGCATCTCACTTACTCAGTTCTTTTTGTTAGAAACCTGCTGCCTGATAAAAGAACTAGGAGGCACCCAGTAACTTTACTGAGACATAATAAAACAGTTCCCTATTCATTAATACTATGGGAAAGTGATTTCATTGACTTCCATCATATCCCCTTTCATCTCTTCCAAGCTGATGAGATCTAGCCTTTACAATCTCTCATAGCACAAAAGCAGTTTTATACCCCGATCATCTTTGTTGCCCTTCTCTGCACCTTTCCTAGTTCAGGTATATCCTTTTGAGATGGAGTGACCAGAACTGCAAGCAGCAGTCAAAATGTGACTGTACTACATTTTATGTAAGAACATTTTCCATTTCTTCATATAGATTCCTAATGATTCTTAATATTTTTAATTTGCCTTTTTGACTACCAGTGCACAGTGAGCCCATGTTTTTAGAGAAATTTCCACAGGGACATCAAAATCTTTCCTGAGTAGTAGTAACTAATATAGAAGCCATCACTGGGACATATAGTTTGGCTTATTTTTTCCTCTTAGGCATATCAGCATTGAAATGATCCCTGCTACTTTATTACCCTCAGTTTTGAGAGATTTTCCTGCAACTCTTCACCATTAGCCTTAGTTTTGATCATCAAGAACAAAGTTGTATCACCTACAAACTTTGCCACTTAACTACCCCCCCTTTTCCAGATCATTTCTGAACGTGCAGAACCTGAACAGCACAGGTCCCAGCACAGCTCTCTGAAGGACATCACTGTTTACCTTCCTCTCCATTCTGAAAAGTCACCATTTAATCCTACACTTCATTTCCTATCCTTTAACTAGTTTTCAGTATGTGAAAAGGCCTTCCCCTTCTGATCCCAGGACAGCCTACTTTCTTTCAGCGCTTTTTGCAAGAGACTGTCACAGCAGCTTTTTGCAAATCCACATATACTGTAACAACTGTATCCTCCTTTCTTTACATCAATAATGCTCATTGGAGTCACTACTCAGAAAGCAGTTGCAAAAAGTTTAATAATTTACTTTGCAACTTTCCATAGCTGAATCAAGTATGATGTATATTAAAGAAGAATCAGTAACCTGGAAAAAAGCTCTGCTACAGAAACAGTTATCTAAGCATGGTGGAAAGGCCGTGCCCCTCATAGAGGTCAGTGGAATAATTCACACTGACTTCAGTCAAAACAAGGGACTTTAAGGCTAGTTGGCAATGAGAAAGATGTAAAAGTAACAATTTATTTTGTAGTCTCAGCAAAAACACAAATTTGCATGTGTTATAGTTAACTTAAAGTTTTTGAACCGATTTATCCTAAATGGATTAGGCAAGTAATCAAGTTTGAATCAGGTTTAGGTAACATGAGCTAGCAGGAATTTAAATTATAAATGACATGTAAAAAAAAAAAATGTAAAGGCATTACACCTTCATCTATGTTAGGAAGGATGGCCAAGTCTGGGTCAGTTTCAAATTTAAATTTTTTAATCTGGGAGACTGTTTTAAAAGGACACTGTTAATATTCCAGTAGCTTATCTGATATCTATTCATTTTAGAGACTATAATTCATATTTCCAATTTAATTCACTACAGAGCAATCCTACTCTCACAGATTCTGTACAAGAGGCAGTAAGGAGTAAGGTTTTTAACATAGATCACCGTTCTTCCTAAAAAGAATCAACTATCCTGAAAATTGTAATTGTCACCTGGTTTTCCTACCTCCACAGACAAAGCAAAGAAATGCCAATATGAATATTAAAGACTTCCAACCCACCAAATATCCAGATACATTCACAGGGAAAATATTCCAAATTGACAAACTATTTTAAGGAGGCAGACTGGGAAACTCTATTGAAGAAGATTATTTTTAAAAAAGGAAAAAACTTTAAAACATATATAAAACTATCATCTCTTCTGTAGCCCTTATCAAACTGGTAAAATTGCTGACAAGCTCGTAAATACAAATTCCATTACAACCCTCTTGTATGTTTTACAGTGTTGTTTGGAGGAAAACAGGCATCTAGTACAATGTTTATTCTTACGCATCAAAACCCCTAAGTTAGACACCCAATGAGCAGACATAGGAGCATTTTCAACAGCATGTAATGAAGTGAGCTCAGGCTCACAAAAGCTCATACTATGCATGTCTTATTTAGTTGAAAATGCTGAAGGCAGGGTAGATTTGCATCCTTAACTCCCATTTTACCCACCCACAAATGTAAATACCATTTTACTGAAGAGATACTGAAGAACTATTAAAAACAGCAAATAAAGTGTATAAACTTTAAAGCTGGCACACAAAAGTTCCCTGGTCTAAACCCATTGGATTTTTCTTCACTTTTAAGAAAGACCAATTAAAAAAAAAGAGATTAGCAAGGGTCACATGTACTGTAATTGGGCTACATGAAAGCCTGCTCCAAGTAAAACAGCTGCAGAAGTCTGCAGCTATTCCCTATACAGAACAAACAGAAGTCTAGATTATATGGATGGCAGGATGAACAGAGGCGGCTGCTGCCAGTGATCCATGGACAACACATCCTCCCTATAGAAAGGAAAGTAGTAGAGCTAGCAACTGTTTCACATGAGTGAGAAATATTACCGTTCAAACACCAGATACTCTTCAGGAACTTAAAAAAAGAGCAGTTGATAATTAAGTCTTGAAATTCACAAATGTGGCTGAAAACCCCTCAAACAAGCGGGTCTGATGCCATAGGTATGAAGGCAAACAAGTGCACATACCCATTTCACAGAAACTAGCAATAGATAGGATCCAGCAAGTCCCCAGCCACTGACAACCGAGCCTCAGCTCCTGGTTGTGCTTAGCGAGGAGCGGTTGGGTCACTCTCCAGGGACCTTGGAGACGCAGGCAGCATTTCCACAAGCCTCCCATCATGACCTTGGGCAAGTCGCCAGCTCTCCTTGTGCCTCGGCTCCCCACCCCTAGCACAGGGGCCGGGAGGTCCCAAAGGCTGTGGGGATTACACACCCCTCTTTACCTACGCCGACATCACTGCCTCTGCCCACGTCCAGCAGTGCAATCATCTACTCGCCCAGGGAGAGGAGCCAGCCTGGGGCTCACGCACTCGCAGGGCACAAGCAAGAGGTGCCCACAGCCCCGGCCGCGATCAGAGGACGGCCCACACCGGTCGAGCCCGGCCAGGCCCCGCACAACGACACTGGCCAGCGCCAGGGGCACCTGGCAGCAGAGGCCCCGCCGCGCGGGCGCAGCCCGGCCTGACGCAGCGCATCCCCCGGGGTACAGCTGCGGGCGCAGGCCCCCACCCCGGAGCAGCCCCGGCCCGGCGGTACCTTGCGGACCCCCTTGTAGATGTAGAAGTAGAGCTCCCGGCCCACATTGAAGCAGAGCCGGTCGCCGTTGCCGCTCTGGTCGTTGACGTTGACGAAGGAGACGCGGACCGGGTTGGAGCCCTGCGAGTTGAAGGGCACGCGGTTGGGCCGGCTGTACTCCGAGTGGCTCAGCAACTTGTACACCCCCTCCCGGGTGGTGAACTGGGTCTTAATCTCGTTCATCTCCTTCCCTCCTCCCTCCGCCGCCATCTTGAAAAGGAGCATTCATCCTGCCCCAGTGCCCGGATGTAGCCCCACTGCGCAGGCGCCGCCGCTCGTTCGCTCTGCCCGGGGGCGTCCGCGCAGGCGCCGTGCGGGGGGAGGAGCCGCTCGCCTGTTTACGGCGCCACTGCGCATGAGCGGGCGGGGCTGCTGCCTGCTTAGCCCCAGCCGCGGAGGGGGGCGGGGCCTCTCCTCGTGGAAAGGGTGGGAATAGAGGGGGGAAGGGTAGCTGCCCAGCGCATGCGCAGAGGCGCAGTAAACAGGCCACCGTGCTCAGGCCCACGTGCCTCCCCAAAGGTGATTTAAAAAAAACGATTTAAAAAGAAATCTTATTTTTTTTTATTTAAAACAGATTTTTTTTAATTTAATCATTTTTTAGTTAAGATGCTTTTTAAAAAATAATAAACGTAGTTTTAATTTACATTAAAGCTCGACGGTATCATGGAATTGGGATTATAACAAAGTTACATACTATTTGAGACAATATATTCATGAAACCTTTTTAGAAGTTTTATAAATGGGTCACAGCAGGCCATGGGCTATATATTAGGGGCCCAAACTTACTGGGTTCCCAGAGGCTAGTCTATAGATTAGTCAAGATTCAAGGAAACCACTCTACCCAATGGGACTCAGTGCTCAGTCTAGAAGATCCCATTAAACAGTTCTGTGATGCATAGTTTCAGTTCTTAAACTTGCCACAGGCAATGACCTGGTGAGGGAACTGCAGGTGTTTGACTACCTATGTATTAGTGACCATCGTCTGCTGGAATTTACTATCCGGCGCAAGGTGGTGAAAGCAAGCAGTAAGGCAAAAGTCCTTGACTTCAGGAGTGATGACTCCAATGAGCTAAGGAGATTAGTAAGAGAGACATTGGGGACTTGGAGCTTCAATGAGATGGGAGTCCAGGACGGGTGGTTCTTCCTTAAGGAGACGATAATCCAAGCTCAGAAGGAGTCAGTCCCAACACAAACCAAAGGGGAAAGAGTGCTAAAAAGCGCCCTTGGCTCAGTAAAGGCATCCAGGAGGGCCTGAAGGCAAAATAGGTGGCATACAATCAGTGGAAGCAAGGGGCAATCACCAAAGAGCATTACACCTCTGTTGCTCGTGATTGCAGGGAGGCAGTTAGGAAGGCCAAAGCAGAGATGGAACTAGGGCTGGGGACCAGAATTAAGGATAACAAAAAGTCCTTTTTCAAATAAATAAGGAGTAAGAAGGCACCAGGTAACGCAGGATCTCTGCAGGACAGGTTTGGCAATCTGGTGATTGCAGCAAAGGAAAAAGCTGATCTCTTCAATGAGTTCTTTGCCTCTATATTTCCGAGCAGGGACCAGGACAACTCCCCCACTAGGATTACGGACAACCTCAGGGAACATGATGCCATGCCTAGGATCAGGGCTAATCTAGTTAGGGAACTCTTGGAGGGGCTGGACATGTATAAATCAGCAGGTCCAGATGCTCTTCATCCAAGGGTACTGACGGAATTGGCGGGGGTCATAGCAGGGCCCCTGGTACAGCTGTATGAGCACTCATGGGGCTCTGGCCAGGTCCCAGAGGACTGGAAAAGGGCCAGTGTGGTCCCCATTTACAAGAAGGGGAGAAAGGAGGACCCAGCCAGTTAGTATCACCTTGGTCCTTGGGAAGACCTTTGAGAAAATTATCAAGGAACACATCTGCGGGGGCCCAGCATGGGAGGTAATGCTCAGAGGCAACCAACACAGGTTCACTGCAGGCAGATCCTGCCTAACTAACCTTGTTTCCTTTTACGACCCGGTCACAATGTCTTTGGATGCAGGCGTTGTGGTGGATGTTGTCTACCTGGACTTCAAGAAGGCCTTTGACAGTGTTTCTCACCCCATGCTCATAAAAAAACTAGGCAACTGCAGCATTGATGCCTACACAGTCAGATGGTTGGCAAATTGGCTCAATGGTCGCACCCAGAGAGTGGTGGTGGACGGGTCATTTTCGACCTGGAGGGATGTGGGCAGTGGAGTTCCCCAGGGCTTGGTCCTTGGGGCTGTGCTTTTCAACATCTTTATCAGTGACTTGGAGGTGGATGTGGAAAGCACACTGTCCAAATCCACTGATGACACAAAGATGCGGGGAGAAGCGGGCACACTGGAGGGGAGGGACAGAATTCAACTAGATCTAGACAGGTTACAGAGATGGGCGGATCAGAATGAATGGAATTCAACGCAGACAAGTGCAGGGTGCTGCATCTATGGAGAAGGAATCTGCAGCATACCTATAGGCTAGGGAACACCCTTCTTATTAACACAGTGGCCAAAAGGGATCTTGGAGTCATTGTTGACTCCAGGATGGACATGAGCCGCCAATGCAAGGAAGTGGTCAGTAAGGCTACTCACACCTTGTCATGGATCTACAGATGTATCACAAGCAGGTCCAGGGAAGTGATCCTTCCCCTCTATGCAGTGCTGGTCAGGCCATAGTTGGAGTACTGCATCCAGTTCTGAGCGCCGCACTTAAAGAAGGATGTGGCTAACCTTGAGAGGGTCCAGAGGAGGGCCACTTGCATGGTCAGGGGGCAGCAGGCCAGGCCCTACGAAGATAGACTAAAGGGCCTGAATCTATTTAGCCTCCACAAGAAAAGACTGAGAGGGGTGGCTGTCTATAAGTTTGCCGGGGGGACCAGCAGAAAATAGGTGAGGCTCCATTCCCCCGGGCACCACCTGGGATAACAAGGAATAACAGCCACAAATTGACTGAAAGCCGGTTCAGGCTTGATATCAGGAGGCATTACTTTATGGTTAGGGCTGCCAGGCTCTAGAATGGGCTCCCAAGGGAGGTGGTGCTCTCCCTTACCTTGGGGGTCTTCAAGATGAGGTTGGATAGATATCTGGCTGGGGTATTATGATCCCAGCACTCATTCCTGCCCAGAGCAGGGCGACAGACTTGATGATCTGTTCAGGTCTGTTCTGCCCCTAGAAACTATGATATTGGATTTGTGTCTCTAGAGAGCATAGGCAGACAAGGTTCTTTGGGTAGATGCAATAGCTTTTATTAGACCAACCAAATAGTTGAAAAAATTGTTCTTTGCAAGCTTTTGGGCAGAAATGCCCTTCTTCAAGCTCAGGGGGTATGTGTTGTCTCCAGAGATAACATCCTTGTGAACAGCGGTATATGGAGATGACAGCAAACAGACCTGATTACCCCTTATCAGCCCTGTTGTCTCTTTCAAGTTTGTGTACACAGTCAAGCCCTTACCTCTTTCTTAGTGCAAAGTTTCAAGAAGTTAAATGAATAAAGGATATCAAACAAGAAGAATGCACTTTTTTTAGAAAACAATTATTAAATTGAAGCTCCCTTACCAGTGATTTAAATCATGATTTAATTTGATTTGATTTGAATCAAATCCACCCTGGTTTGCCCAAGCCTTGCAGCAGAGAGCAGGGGTTTGTTTAGTGGGGAGGCAGGGGCTCTTCTGAGGGTGACACTGATTAGAGGCACTGCTGCTGCTGCTGGGGGTTAGGGCCTGGAAGGCAAAGGAGGTGGGGGGTGGTGAGAGCTGCAGTGGAGAGAGGCCCTGGTGCCTGGAGTGGGCAGAGTTGTCAAGCGCAGTCTTCTCCCTGCAGTTCAGTAGCCCACACCCAGGCTAAGGGGCACTAGAATGAGAGTGTGGGTCTGAGCCTATGGGTCTGGTGATGTGGGTCTGACACCAACACACTCCTGAGGACATCTTGCCCCTGGGGACAGTGTTGCTGCAGACCTGTTAAGAGGCAATAAAGGCTTGAGTGACCAAGACAGAAGGAAGGTAGAGTTGCACCTTGCAGACTAAATTGGAGATGCGCAAGCCTTACTAAGCAGCAGCTTCCTAGCTTCTGATGAAGCAAGCTGCCACTTACTTGTGTAGCTCTGATTCAGTCTGATGCCAATCTACCCTGCCTTCTGTCTGCGGCAGGCTAGTGTGGCTCCCTCTCTGAATAACTGGGGCCAGGTTAATGTCTGCTAGGGTTAGTGAGAGCCATTGATCAAGCCAAAAATGATAGGCAAGTTACTTGTGGGAATTTTAGTATCAATGAGGAAGCCAAAAGCATTTCCGAACTACATGTTGAATTGAACAATTATGCCTCAGTCAAAGGAGATTTCACTGTGCAAACTCTTCAAGAACTCCTCAAACCCAGTAGCACACCTGTAGCTAGGTCAGGTTCAGCTTCAGCCAGCTGTTCTTTCCCTGCAGGACCATCTCAGTAGTAGTGGCTTGCTAGCATGTGGTGAGGGACTGGTAGAGCTTTTATCTGTTTATTGCCACCACTTGAGTCTTTATCAGACCAGTTGACATAGTGGTTGTTTAAAGAATTGATCCTTATGAAATTCCATGTAAGAGGGATCTACTGGAGGAAGCACAGTTTTCCTGTTACTACTTGTGGGCTGTGTCCTTCTGAAAAGGACTCAAAATATTTCCTTGGATCCTTAACGCCTCTCTGGTAAAACATATCTCAAGGTCAACGTGCTACAGAGAGTTTCAGGCAGATGAGAATGGATGTCTGCCACCTATCCACTGACAGTAGATTTGTTCCTAACTTTATTTCAGCTACATGTCCTAGCCTGACTCCAGGGTGTGCTACATCTAGAATATTAGCTTTAGATAGTTAGGCTTCTCTAGTGATCTTTTGACTAAATTATCTATGAGCCTGTTTGGGAATCATAAGTTAGACACTGGGGAGTACGGCCTAGAATCAATGCGTCTAAAGTGAGTTTCTTCAGTGTTTCTCAAACTACAGCACATTTGGAAATGGAAGAAAAGGTCACTTCGCTGAATGATGCTTTGGCTATTTTGATCTGAAAACACTGGCAACACATAGGGAGTGTATGTGGGTGCACATGCACCCCGAGATTGGTGGTGCACACACTGTGTAAAGTGCTGCCGACACTGCCAGTGGCACTGGCAGGCAGTCGCTGCTCACCATCCCCCGCCTCCCCACTGCCAACACTGCCAGTGGTGTCTGCAGGCGGTCCTCAATCACCCGTGGTCGCTGCTAATGTTGCCAGCAGTGTTTGCAGGTAGTCGCCAA